AAAAATGCTAACAATTGTTAATACATATTAATAGCAATATGTATCTTGTTCTTGTACTTTATATTTACATGTTCTTAGAAAGGGAGAAATAAAAAGGAAAATGTTATTAAAAAAAAGACATGGGTAAATCTCAAGAAAATTATGCTGAGTAAAAGAAGTCAGACAGAAAGTGTTCATACTGCATGAGTATATCTATATAAAGTTCCAGAATACACAAACTAATTTATAGGGATAGAAAGCAGATCAAAGGTTGTCTGGGAAAGTATGACTGCATGGAAGACTGGGAGGCAGGGGACGAAGAAAGTTCATGGGGTTGATGAATATGCTCATATCTTGACTTAAGTGATAATTTTATGGGTGTGTACATTTGCCAAGGGTTACTAAATTGTAGACTTTAAACATGTCAGCCTACTGTATGTCAATTATACCTTAATAAAGCTTTAAAAAAAAATCTAACAAATTTGGATGAAAAGTAAGCATACTCCAACCATATGACCCAACCATTTTGCTTCTAGCTAAAATAAAGAAATATATGATTTTACAAAAATTAATGCACAAAAGAGAATGCATAAATATTCATATTAGCTTTATAATAAGTAAAGACTGGAAGCAACCTGGACATTCAACAGGTGAATGAATCAACAAATTGTAGTACATCCATATAATAGAATACTACTCATCAAAACACATGAACTATTTCTGCACTATTGGTGCACTCAATACCATGGATGTATTTTTTAAAAATTATGCTGAGTGAAAAAAGACAAAACGGTGTATGCTATATGATTCCATTTATGTTAAACTCTAATAAATACAAACAAACTTAGAGAGAAAACAGAACAATGGGGACTGGGATTGGGTGTGCAGAAAAGGATTACAAACAGGCACAAGAAAACATCAAGAGTGATGAGTATGTTTACTATTTATTTATTTATTTATTTATTTATTTTGAGACGGAATCTCCTTCTATTACCCAGACTGGAGTGCAGTGGTACAATCTTGGCTCACTGCAACCTCTGCCTCCCAGTTCAAGTGATTCTCTTGCCTCAGCCTCCCGAGTAGCTGGGATTACAGGTGCCCACCACCACACCTGGCTAATATTTGTATTTTTAGTAGAGACAGGGTTTCACCATGTTGGTCAGGCTGGTCTCGAACTCCTGACCTCAGGTGATCCACCCATCTCAGTCTCCCAAAGTGCTGGGATTACAGGTGTGAGCCACCACACCCGGCCACATTTACCATCTTGATGGTTTCCCAGGTGTCACACGTATCAAATACAGGCAGACCTCTTTTTGTTGCACTTCACTTTTTTGTGCTTTGCCTATATTGCAGTTTTCTTTATTTGCAAATTGAAGGTTTATGGCAACCCTGCACTGAGCAAGTCTACTGGGACCATTTTTTCAAGAGCATGTGCTCACTTAGTGTCTCTGTGTCACATTTTGGTAATTCTTGAAATATTTCAAACATTTTCATCATTATTGTATCTATTAGGGTGACCAGCAATGAGTGATCTTTGAGTAATTGTTTTGCGACAGTATGAATGGTGCCCATATAAGATGGTAAACTTAAAAAATGTGTGTATTCTGATTGCTCCACTGACTGGCTATTCGCCCATCTCTCTCCCTCTCCTTGGAGCTCCCTATTCAGTGAGACTCAATAATATTGAAATTAGGCCAATTAATAACTTTACAATGTCCTCCTAGTGAAGGCGAGTGTCAAGTGAAAGGGGAGTTACATGTCTCTCACTTTCAATTAAAAGCTAGAAAATCCTAAGGCCCTTAATTATACTAAATCTACTCTACTCATGCTCTATAAATACAACAACAAAGCCTGGGTGACAGCATATCTGTTTATAATATGGTTTGATGAATATTTCTAAGCCCACTGCAGAGACCTGCTACTTAGAAAAAAAAAGATTCCTTTCAAAATATTGGTGATCATTGACAATACACCTGGTCACCCAAGAGCTCCGATGGAGATGTACAAGGAGATTAATGCCGTTTACATGCCTGCTAACACAACATCTAGTCTGTAGCCCCTGGATCAAGGAGTAATTTCAACTTTTAAGTCTTATTATTTAAGAAATACATTTCATAAGACTATGGCTGTTATAGACAGTGATTCCTCTGACGGATCTTGGCAAAGTTAGTTGAATACCTTCTGGAAAGGATTCACCATTCTAGATGTCATTATAAATATTCGTGATTCCTAGAAGGAGGTCAAAATATCAACATGAACAGGAGTCTGGAAGAAGTAGATTCCAATACTCCCCGATGACTTTGAGGGGTTCAAAACTTCCTTCAGTGGAGGAAGTCACTGCAGATGTGGTGAAAATAACAAGAGAACTAGAATTAGAAGTGAACCCTGAAGATGTGACTGAATTGCTGCAATCTCATGATCAAACTTCAACAGATGAGGAGCTGCTTCTTATGGGATATGAAAAGAGTTTTCTTGAGATGGAATCTACAGCTGGTGAACATGCTGTGTTTATTTTTGAAATCACAATAAAGGATTTAAAATATTACATAAACTTAGTTGAGAAATCAGAGTCAGGGTTTGAGAGGATTGATTCCAATTTGGAAAGAAGTTCCACTGTAGGTAGAATGTTATCAAACAGCACCACGTGCTATAGAGAAATTTTTCATGAAAGTACAATCGATCGATGTGGTCAACTTCACCGTTGTCTTATTATAAGAAATTGTCACAGCCACCCCCACCTTCAGCAACAACCTGCCTGATTACTCAGCAGCCATCAACACTGAGGCAAGACCCTCCGCCAGCAAAAAGATTATGACTCACTGAAGGCTCAGATAATTGTTAGCAAACTTTAGCAATAAAATATCTTTAATTAAGGTATGCAAATTGTTTCCTTAGACATAATGCTATTATACACTCAACTGCAGTATAGTATACACATAACTTTTATGGAATCCAATACATTCATGTGACTAGCTTTATTGTGATATTTGCTTGGTTGTGGTGGTATGGAAATGAGCTTGAAATATCTCTGAGGTATTCCTGTTTATGTTTCATATCAAAACTTGTATCAAATTGTATATTTTAGATATACAGGTAGTTTATTGTCTGCCAATTACAACAAACTACAATAAAGCTATTAAAAATATGGCGAATCAGCTGGGTGCGGTGCTCGCGCCTATAATCCCAGCATTTTGGGAGGCCAAGGCAAGTGGATCACGAGGTCAGGCATTCAAGACCAGCCTGGCCAAGATGGTGAAACCCTGTCTCTACTAAAAAT